CTCACCAAACTCCAGCGTGCCTGCTGCTGTCTGTTGCAAGGTTGGCTGCGTGGATGTGCTCGACTTCACAAAGAATGCTGTTGATACGTTGACACCCAGCTCCATTTCGCGGCCAGGCGCAAGGTGGAGTGAAGTCACGCCAATCAGCGTGCCGTTGAGTGCCAAGCACGCACCAGCGTCTGTGTCGCCGACGAGATGCGTGGTGTCTGCGAGTTCCAGCTCACCGCCCACATCAACCAGGTAGTTGACGGGGGTGCGGGCAGTGGACTTACGGAAGGGGATCACATCGACCGTAACGTAGTCCGAATCCGCCACATGCACAAAGCCCGTGTAGTCGCCAATGAGCTTGTTGATCACAAGCCTGTGTGCTGCATCGGTCAGGCGCAGAGCGGCGTGGTTGACGAGGTGCACCTCGTTGAACTCGTACTCAAGCTGGTCGCGCTCGCCAAGCTCGTAGTCCACGTCCCAGCCGTGGTTGTTGTTGTCGATGACAAGCGTCTCCCACACCTCAAACTCGGTGCGCTGGTGGCGCAGGTACGCGCTGCCAGGACCACCCGGGGATGTGCCGGAGCCGCCGTGCGTGTTCATGCTGCCGCGGAACTGCGTCTCATCAAAGAACAGCGCGACGCGGCCACCACTGCCAGAGCCAGCAGAGGAGGCAGCGGCAGTGCCACCGCGTACATCGAGCACACCATCCTCGTCGCCATACAACAGCTGCGTTTGCACCCAGACAGAGCCGCCACTACCAGCGCCCGCGAGGGAACCGGAGCTTGGCGATTCACCACGGACATCGAGCACGCCGTCAAGCGTGAGCGTGTCTGTGCGCACGACAATGGTGCTCCCACCAAAGCCGCCCATGTCTGAGGACGTGGCGTCGCCACCACGCGAGCCGGGCGTGGTTGGTGCATACAGCCAGCCGTAAGCGCTGCCACCATCACTGGTACTCGAAGCGCCGCCCTTGTTGACATGACCGCCGCCAGAGCCGCCCGTGGAGGCAGACGTGCCCACACTCGGGCCCTGTGTAACGTCGACGCCACGCCGGTCAAAGCCGCTGGCAGAGAGGCGTGCACCGGCGGTGATGTGGGCGGTCGTCGCGTTCACATCAAAGTAGTCTGCGGTGATGCGGGAGAGCGGCTTGAGCGAGAGCGTGTCAAGCAGTGCACGGAAGCCTAGTCCAGGCTCTGTGAACAGGTGTGCGCCCGTCTGCAGCTCCAGCTCAACAAGCTGAACCTCGCCCGGTTTGGATGAGTAGAGGAGTTGGCCCTCCTCCTCGAACGAGAACACACAGCCACGACGCACGCGCATCTGCACATCGCGCAGCAGCACCAGCTCTGGTGCGCCAATGATGGTGCCGTTGCAGTCAACGGCCACACGCTCATCGTCATCGCCGTGAACCATCACGCCGTTGCCCTTCACATCAAACTGCTCGGGAAGCACGAGCTCACCACCGTTGCGCAGCACAAAGTTCACCGGCGGCTTGGCCACGCTTGGCTCACTTGGATGCACCTCGCTCAGGATGCGGTGCCCTGGACCGACCAGAACGAGGCCGTCGCCGTCACTCTCAAAGTCAAAGACCGTCAGCACGTTGTTCAAGCTGCCGGGTGCGAGTGTGATGGCGGCGCGGCGCAGAAGATGCACCTGCTCAAACGTGTATGCCTTGTCTGGGGCGCCAACAGTGTCCTCGGTAACGACGTAGGCGCGAGCGTCCCATCCCTGGTTGTCGATGCGCAGCTGGCGGAAGACCTTGCCAGCTCGCTTGTCCTCCAGGTAGACGCTGCCTGCACCGCCGCGCAGGGAGGTGTCAGAGCCCGCAGCGCTGCCACCAAAGGCCAGGTAGCGACCACGGAAAGCAACGGGCGCATCTGGCACGTGGATGGCCAGGCGACCACCACTGCCACCGCCCTGGCGGGCACCCAGGCCGCGACCACCGTTCACGTTGAGGTCACCCGAGCCCGTGATGTGATCGGTGAAGATGAGCAAGCTGCCGCCGCTGCCAGCACCAGACACGCGCGTGGGCACGCTGTCCTGGCCACTGACATCAATGAGGCCGTCAACAACGACATACTCGCTGCTCAGCTTCATCCATCCGCCTGAGAGCCTGTTTACCTCGTGCACCTGCTCAAACGTGTATGCCTTGTCTGGGGCGCCAACAGTGTCCTCGGTAACGACGTAGGCGCGAGCGTCCCATCCCTGGTTGTCGATGCGCAGCTGGCGGAAGACCTTGCCAGCTCGCTTGTCCTCCAGGTAGACGCTGCCTGCACCGCCGCGCAGGGAGGTGTCAGAGCCCGCAGCGCTGCCACCAAAGGCCAGGTAGCGACCACGGAAAGCAACGGGCGCATCTGGCACGTGGATGGCCAGGCGACCACCACTGCCACCGCCCTGGCGGGCACCCAGGCCGCGACCACCGTTCACGTTGAGGTCACCCGAGCCCGTGATGTGATCGGTGAAGATGAGCAAGCTGCCGCCGCTGCCAGCACCAGACACGCGCGTGGGCACGCTGTCCTGGCCACTGACATCAATGAGGCCGTCAACAACGACATACTCGCTGCTCAGCTTCATCCATCCGCCACCGTAGCCGCCGCTGTTGCCACCGCGAGAACCCGTCTGCGTTGGAAGGTAGAGGTCACCGTACTGCGCACCACCAGCAACGCTCTGACTGCCGCGACCGCCGGGGCTGCCGTGGCCGCCACCAGAGGCCGACGTGCCATCAAAGCTGCCAGCGCCACGCGGGCTGTCGCCGAGCTGGCGATGTCCTGCAGCGCTCAAGGTGGATTCCGCCTCAATGTCAATCAGCGGAATTGTCACATCGACAAAGGAGGCGTCGATGAGCGCACCAAACTTGGCGTCGAGCGCCTCAATGTTGGCCAGCATGCCCATTCCAGCCTCAAACTTGAGATTTGACTCTGCGTGCAGGTTCAGCGTGGCAAACTTGAGCGTGCCTGGCTCATCGACAGTCAGCGTCTCCCAAGACGTGAGGTTGCGAGTTGCACGCTCACTTGAGAAAAACACCTCAAGCGTGGTACCGCGCGTCAAGTCGAGGTCAATGACGTTTGTAACGCGTCCTCGCCACTCAAACGTGCGAGTTCCTGCATATAACAAGTGGGGTGCGAAGACAAACTCAGCTTGCTCTTCCATGGTGAGGTCGACGGGTGGCTGCACGCGGCGGTCGTGAGGGTCAAAGATCCACGTCTGGTTGGCGAAGCAGTGGATCGTTGTGGTCCTGTCGCCGGTGAGCTTCTCAACGTCAACCATGATGCCCTGCACGGCGGGATGCACGCGAACAATGCCGGTGCGAACCACCTTGAGCTCAGCAAAGTTGAGGTGGTGCACGTCGTGCCGGTCAATCTCATGCACTTGCTTGTGGCCATGGTTTGCGTTGTCGATGGTGAGCACGGTTCGCACCGCGCCACCCAGTGCAACATCTTCGACAAACACGGTGCCCGCACCGCCGTGAGCGGCGTCCAGGCCAGCCGTGCCAGTGCCGCCAAGCGCCTGCATGGTGCCTGAATACTGGAGGTCAAAGGCAGCGTGGACGGCAACGCGGCCGCCGCTGCCACCGGTGTAGCCGTTGCCACCATCAGCACGAATGACACCCGTGCCTCGCAGCTCGTCCCCAACTTCAATCAAGATGGAGCCGCCAGAGCCTCCGCCGCTTGCTCCATCCACTGCAAGCACGCCGTCCACGAAGACGTCAATGGCCTGGATGAAGATGTGTCCACCGCCGTTGCCGCCCTGCGAACCGCGGTAGCCCGTTGTCGTGGGCGCATAAAACGTGCCAAAGTACGCGGATGGCGCTTGCACATCGGATGCGACACCGCCGTGTGAGGCGTGGCCAGCACCGCACTGCGAGCAGAGCCCGGGTTGCACCTGGGTCTCAACGCCACTGCAGTCAATGGATGCACCACGCTCGATGTTCAATACCCCGACGTCGAGCTCTAGGTGTTCCTGGTGGATGGTCGCACCAGTGCGGACATGAATCGCACCAGCGCGAAGTGTCAGTGGTCCGCCAGCGAATGTAGAGAGAGTTGAGCCGGACAGCAGCTCGAGCTCGTCAATTGTCACCTCGTTGGGCGTGTCGACATTGTTGTACACGGGTTCGTTGAATGTGGATGCTGATTCGTCAAGAGACGCTTTCACCATGCGTTCACCAAGCACGACCGTTGCTCCCTCACCAATAGTGAGGCGGTTGGCGTTTGTGAGCTTGCCATTGACATGCAGAGCGTGGCCAATGACAGCAACAGACTGAGGCAAAATCAGCTCGCCACCTTCGTCAACCGTAAAGTCATGGGCAACAACAAGTCGAAATGTGCTGCGCGGTGTGCTGAAAGCGACCCACATTCTCTGTCCATTCTGAACGAGCAGGTGACCCGTCTTGTCACCACCCAGCTCCACGGCACGGAGGCTGCTGCCCACAAACTCCACGCGGGCGCCACCGAAGATGTCAAGGCGGTCAAATACAAAGTCTGTCATGCCAGTCTGCTCAATCACGGTCGTGGGGGTGTCAGCGTGCGCCGCGCCGTTCTCGTTGTCAACTTGCAGGGACACCTCTGTTGACCCAAGGCGGGCGTTGACAAAGTGGAAGGTGCCTGGCGCGCCGACATCGTTGCTGCCGTGTCCGCCAGACGTGTACACCTCGCCGGCATACTGCGACAACGTGTCCACGACCACGGCAATGCGGCCGCCAGCACCAGAGCCTGCAGACGAAGCAGAGCCACCGCGAGCAGCGAGGTCGCCCGTGCCCGTGAGTTTTGATGCCTGGATGAAGATGGAACCACCCGCGCCAGCACCAACAGTAGCATCCTGCCCAGCGGCAGTGATTGTACCGGCGAGTCTCAGTTCCAGGCTGCTGACGATGTGCACGAGCCCGCCACCATGCACAGTTAAGCCACCGCTGCCCGGCATGTCTGGCGTCCCAAAGTCGCCGTACGCACAGCTAGCACCGGCACCACCAGCGAATCCACCATGGCCGGCGCCAACAGCATCGCTGCCGGGACACGGGCCGGCGCCAGCCTCGTACCCGTGCTCGTCCAAGTCAATGACTGACTGTGGCTGCAGCACAAGCTCACCGACACCTGCAGTCAGTCGGTGAGCAGAGAGTCTGGAGGCGAAGCCAAGAACGAGGCGGCCTGCGGCAAGTGAGATGTCGTGTGTATGGTTTCCACCAAACACAAGCTGAGAGTGCGTGCCGAGTTCCAGCGCCCCAAACTTGAACTCGCCCGGCTGGCTGATGAAGCCATAACCAGATGCTTCGTCATACTGAGCCGTGCGCACGGTGTGATCAAGGTGCAGGACCCCATGTGGTTGCACATACACTCGCTGGGCGTTCGTGAGCTGACCAGCGATGACGCTACTTGGACCAACAAACTGCACCGCTGGTGGAAGCAGTAGCTCGCCTTGTGCCCTGAGGAAGATGTTTGAAGCAACGCGAGCAATCACGTTGCGGCTCGTCGATGTTTCGAGGAACACGCGCATGCTGTCGTGCACCAGGATGGTGGTTGACTCATCGGACACCAGGTCCACAATGGTCAGTGTCAGCGTTGCTTGTGTGTCGTCTGTCATCGACAGCTTGGCGCTGTCGGCCATGTGCACCTCATCAAACGCATACGCCGTGGCCCCCGCACAGCCCGAGAGCCGCGTGTACGGGTCCGTGTCGCGCTTGGCGTTCTCCAGGAACAGCTGGCGGAACGGATAACCGGTGGGCTGCGACGTGACATACGCCGTGCCAGATGCGCCGTGTCCGAGGCGCCCGCTGCCACCTCGGGTGAGCAGGCTGCCCTGGAAGTGGTTGGTCTTTGCCACCTCAATCACAATGCGGCCACCGCTGCCCGCGCTGCCACAGGTGGAGCACGTGGCGTCGCCGCCAGCGACGGAGATGGTACCAACACCGTGCATCGTGTCCGACACACGCATGTAGAAGGAGCCGCCACTGCCAGAGCCGCTGCTGCCACCAGCATGGGCACCATCGACAGCAACTCTGCCATCAATGCTGGCGTCCTGCGTTTCCACGCGGATAAAACCACCACCACGCCCGCCGTTAGTGTTGCCGCCGCCAGAGCCGAAGCGGTCCGCCCAGTACACGCAGCCGTGCTCGTCGACATGTGTGCCAGACACGGGCCCAGATGCGCCACCATAGCTGCCGCCAGTTCCGAGCATGAGCCCACCGCCAAAGCCTTGGCCAAAGGCATGGCCGAGGCCCGTGGCGGAGAGCACAGCGCCGTAGCCAACAGTGAACGTGGTTGACGTGAAGATGACATGGCCCGCATCCATCTGCCCACCTGCAGTGAGCAAAAAGTCAACAGCAGAGAAGCGCATGGCCGTATCAGCCACACGCGTGTGCTGCTGCAAGGGTACGTCGCTGCCTTGCACGCCGTCGTAGGCGCCGTCCTCGGCATCTCCTTCAATGGTAACCTGGCCATCCTGTGCAACCTCAAAGTACCGGAATGACAGCTGACCCGGGGGATCGATGAACGTGTATGAGCCCGCGCCCTCGCCCGTGGCCGTGTGACTTGTGCGGCGGAAGCGCACGGTGGCACCGTTGCTGACAACCATCTGATTACCGCCTGTGAGCAGACCTTGCAGGTCCAGGGTTGGCGACACGGAGGTGCCCGGGACTGTCACCCGCTGCGGAAGCACCAGCTCAGCCGAGGGCTCGACCACAAATGCGCTCGGAAGTGAGAGCGGGCGGCTCACAGCTGCTCGGGACACAGCCACATACAGAGACACGCCATCACGCACATACGCGCGAGCAGTTGCATCACCAGTGACACGACGCAGGATGATCTTGGCAGTGGCCCTTGAACACCAGACGCTGGCTCGAAGGAAACCTCTGCCGCTTGCAAGATGGCAAGTCGATCAATCACCACGTCAGCAGGATTGCCGTCAACATCAACAGCCCCGAAGGATGTGGGCAGCTGAGGGCGATGGCCGCTGTTCTTAAACACGACAGACGTCGTGGGAATGCCAAACAGCAGTTGTGCCCTGTAAATGGTGCCTGGCGCACCAGCAGTCGCGGCTGACGTTGAGCCGCCACCACCAAGAGCACGGAACTCACCCGCAAACTGGGACTGGTCGGGCGTTTGCACGGAGATGCGCCCACCAGAGCCACCGTAAGCACCAGCGCCCGTTACCCGACCGCCGTTGGCGGTCATGGACCCGTGGCCCTTGAGCACGTCCGCCTCGATCAGGATGGAACCGCCAGAGCCCGCGCCAGTGCTCGCGGAGTCGCCATTCACCACAAGTTCGCCGTTGAGAAGCAGCTCGCCTGCAACGTGGAAGCTGATGACGCCGCCACCGCGTGCAACGCCGTTGGCGCCGCTGCCATACGATCTTGGCCACATTGTGGAGCCGTACGTCACCTCGCTGCGCTGTGGGCCTGAGCCGGGACCACCGTGGGAGGCGCCGCTGTTAGCGCCAGCGGCACCGGGGCCAGCAAGCTCGCCGAAGCCAGACAGGCCGATGTTGGCGCCGTTGCCGAGGAAGGCGTTGTCGCAGATGAACGTGAAGTTGCGCGTGCCTGAGTCGGGCGTGTCCAGCAGCGCGTTGTAGCCCATTTGGAAGTAGCCGATGCGCAGAATGGGGTGGGCCGTGCCCAGTCGCATGACGGAGTCATCCTGAAGCACCAGAGAGTCCAACACGTAAGTGGTGGCATCACCGTCAGTACCGACGACCGCGCCTTCATCAAGCTGAAGCCGTGCCGACTTGCCAACCACAACAGCAAGCGTATCCAACTGGGCGCCGTCGTGCACAACTGCGCGTGTGTTTGGACCAAGACTGAGGTACGGGCCAAGAACCTGGCCATACACCTCCAAAGCGGGGTTGCGCGTGCCCAGCAACAGCGTCGTGTTGACCAGGTCAAGCACAGCACCCGTGCCCACCTTGAAGTTCACCAGGCAGCGTGCATCTTCAAACTCAGCAACACGCAGTTCGCTGTTGTCAAGCAAGTCAACGAGACCACCGCCATTGCCGGTCACGGTTGTTGCTGTGACGACTGCGCCTGGCTGCACAATAAAGGTTGCGCCGTCCATGACCATGAGTTCAGCAACGGTTACATTGTCGCCGTACTCAGGGTCGCGCAGCGTGGTTGAGCCTTCACCAGCAATGGTCACGCGATCGCGCCACACACCGTCAACCTGATCACGCAGGAACACCGTACCAGGCCCAGCACCGTTGCCACCACCGTATGCGGCCAGCGTGCCCTCAAAGCGGTACTCGTTGTTGGTGGTGACTTCGACGGCAATGCGGCCGCCAGAGCCGCCGTAGGTGCCGGTCCCGCCGTTGGCCTGGATGGTACCCGTAACTCCATGCAGCTTAGGTGTTGTAATGTACACGCTACCGCCTGCACCGCCGCCAACAGAACCCGATGCGCCATTTGCTTGGATAGTGCCGTCGTGTGTCATCTTCTCGCCCACAATCAGACGGACAACGCCGCCACCAAGGCCACCTGATCCGCTGGACGCTGCGCCGCCCGCTTCCAGCGGTGCGGTCACAGAGCCGTACACGTCATCGTCGTGTTGGGTAAAGCCGCCATGGAAGCCACCACGGCCAGCTGTAGTCGGCGTGCCCTTGGGGTTCGACGCGACACCATTTGATACGATGCGTGAACCACCGCGGGTGACCAAATCCCTGACACGAACCACTGTGGGCGTTGTTGCGTTGTGCTGCACGGTGATGTACGAGTTGCCCTGCAGCTCAAGGCGGTCATACTCGTGTTCGCCCGGCTCCAAGAAGCAGTTTTCCCCTGGTGAGAGGGTGAAGCCTGTGCGGTAGTCGCAGGAGATGGCGTACGTCATGTTCCAGTACGTGTAGTTGACCCGTTCAACCATGGTCTCGTTCCAGAAGTACGTCTGCTCATGGATACGTGTCTCGATGTACGTGTACCACGGCCGAAGCGAGTCAACACAGGCTGATGCACTGCCGTGGCCAATGTACAGGCGACGGTCACCCAGCGTCTGTGGCCAGGGCAGGTCAGCGGTCAGGTTGGCTGCGGAGAAGTCGCTTGTGATTCCGGCACTCTCAAAAATCGCGGCAACGTCTGCAGACGCATTCCCGCTGAGCTCGCCGGCAACAAACTGCTCAAGGGCACGAGAGTAGTTGCATGCTCCCTGCACAATGCTGTAAAGCGAGCCGTCGACCAGCGTGACGTTGTATGGAAGTTGCCGAACAGCGTGCTTTTCTTCCGTGGTGAGCTGGTAGTAAAACGAGTCGAACGTCACATTTCGCTCGTCCACGATCAGCGTACCCTCGCGACAGGGATTGTAGACAGCATACGATGTATCATTGTGCAGTTTGATACCCGTCGGACAGGGCTCGTTGTCGTAGAAGTGATAACACTTGGACGACAAACATGCATCCTCTGTCGTCTGATCCGCGCATGTCGTCGGCTGCCAGTCGTACGAGAACACGGGCTCATAAAACGGATCCACCTTGCACGTGTGCTGGAATCGGTCTGCACTTGTGCAGTTTGATTCGCGACACACGTCTGCAAAGAAGTCGTCACAGTCTGGGCCCTTCTCGCAGTAGCGCTCGGGTCGTTCGGGGCACTCCGTCTCCGAGTGGAGGTCGTCGATGGGCTGGTCCTGGCAGCCGCAGGTCTGTGTGTTTGGATGCCAGAAGCAAGCACTGCCCTCAATGCGTCCGGCTTCTTCAACGTCGACGTGCGCCGCATCACGCGTGGGCTCAGGGATGCCTGCAAAGTCGTACGTGGCACCGAAATGCACATTCAAGGAATCAACGGCGAGACGGGTGCTGAGCGGTGACAGAGAAATCACTGTGCCCTGGTACATCACCGTCACAGCCATCATCTCATACGTGCCAGGGGTTTGTCCACTTGTGTAGCCTGTAGACGCAACCTTCCACACACCGTCCTTGCCCACGAGCAGGTGCTCGAGCCCGTTGAGCTGGCCCTGCGAGACCATAGTTGCGCGCAGCTCCACGGTTGCGGGCAGGTCGGCAATGCTGCCCTCCTGCAGGAAGAGGTCAAGGCGGATGTCTCGCTCCTCGTCCTCGCTCGTGGCCGGCGGCAGCGTCACGCGCTGGTCGCGGCCAATCACAAGGCGCGCTGTTCCGCCCGTGCCTAGCAGGTGCGTTGCCGTGAGGGCAGAGGGCTGCCCTGGCGCGGGGTACATGGCAAGCTGAGCACCGTCGCCAACACGCACCTCGTCAAACGAGTACACAAAGGTACCCGTGCCAGGCAGGTTGAGCGTATCGTCGCCAAAGGAGAGGTAGCTGATAGCTGGGTTGCGTGACACGTCGTCAAAGTCAAATGCTGCCTGTGCGGGGAAGGATGGCGGCGTGCGCCCACCATTGTTCAGCTCAAGAACGGTGTACGTGTTGCCATCCGCCTGGGTGCGTTCCGTGTACAGGATACCTGCAGCGCCCACCTCAAAGCCGTCGCCACCAACAGCGCTGATGGTGCCGAAGAAGCGGGACTGTGTCTCGTCGTAGCTGAGTGAGATGATGCCACCAGAACCACCGCCACCGCGGAGGTTGTTGTACACGCCGCCGTCACCGCCGTCAGCTGCGAGGGACCCAAAGCCGTGCAGCGTCGTGGCGGTAATCCACAGGCTGCCGCCAGCACCGCCACCGCCGTCAACAGACACGCTCTCGCCAGAAACGTCGATGCGGCCCTCCAGCAGAACGGTGTCCGCGGAGATGCGAACAGCGCCACCGCCGCGGCCGGCCTGGCCTTGCGACCCAGTGGATCCACCAGGCCCCATCGTCACGGGCGCGAAGATGGAGCCAAACGGTTGCGAGCGTGTCACAGACGTGGAGCCGCGGCCGCCGCAGCCGGCATGCGAGGCGCCGTAGCGGTTGCCCTGCACAGTACCCGGACCCGTGTTTGGCGCATAGCCGAGCGACGCCGCCGTGATGATGCTGTCGACATGCATGTTGACCTTTGTCGACGCAATCGTTGCGTTGCGCACGCGAATCTCGGAGTATCCCTGCAGCTCCAGGTCATCCACCTTGAACGTGGTGGTGTTCATCGTATCCGTGGCCAGCCATGTGGCACCGGCTGACAGCACCAGTCGTGACAGCTCGACCAGGTTCTGCGCACCGCCCTGAGACGGTGACGGAACAATGGCCGCGTCCTCGTACATGGTGACTGTGCAGTCTGAGACCGTGAGCTCGCTCAGGCTGGTGACGCGGCCGCGGTTGTACAA